AATAAAATAAATCAATATTTCTGAAGTGCTCAAAAATTTCCAATAATGCTGTCTCACTCTGCTCGAAAAGTTTTGCAGGTATGGATGTAAGACATGAAAAATGGTCCGCACTCTGGCACCCTGATGAATAAAAACCCCCAACCGGGCTCATTCACGGGGAAAGTGACGTATAAAAGATTCCCTACATTTGCCACTGGACTGGACTGGATGTGAAGGGTTTGTTATCATTATTCGACGAACCCCTGCGGCCAACACTGCTTTCTGAACCGGACCGACTCCTGGGCCATTCTTACCTTAGATTTCGGACGATGTGGTGGTCTGGTCAACCAATTTGGTGGTCAGTGAGTCGATAGATTTTTGCTTGTTAGATAGATACCAACGTGTGTGGGAGACAGGTCGTTTAATTCGTTAGTGTACATAATTATATAGTGCCGGGCAAGTTTCAATCATCCAAATTAATCGAATTGTTCTCAAGTCGATGGAAGGATCCTTGCCCCAAATTCCACTCGATCCGACCACCGCACAATCAAAGAGGGCAGCGGCGGTGTCGAGCGAGATGACTTGGTGGACCATTTTGGTAAGTTAAATTCCCTCTGTCAAACTTGTATCAAATCAAGCTCAGAGATATTAAAGAGATAGGAGTGGATTCGATTTTGGTTTGATGGTGGTGGTTTACGTTTCATGATGGGCACAATGCCACCCACTCGACCAGACCGCAGCTAAAATATCCACGAGCTTATGTATATTCCTCCCCCTTCTTCATAATCTGAATTAGTTCAAGTAGGGTGAAAGTTGGTTTATGTAGAGTCTAGTTTAGTGTAAATCCCGGATTACATTACATTACTTTACATTACACTACATTTGCTTACTGTTCCATTTCGTGTCATGGGGTGAAGTGAAGTTGGAGGTTGGTATCGTAATAGGATCAGACGGATATTCTCCGTGTCGTGGGTAAGGAAGGAGTGGATAAGTTCACTTCATGGTTGTGGTGTGGTCCTATTTTAGCTCACAGTGTATTTTGTGGTGTGGTTTCGTTGTATTGTATGCAAAATAGTGTCTATTTTCATAAACAAACATTGTACTGAAGAGATTTGAAATGACAACTTTCACATGTATCATGTGTCCCCGTTTAATTTCCAATTACAAATTTTTTTCATGTATGTATGTTTCTGAAAATGTATCAAGAATTTAATGTGTATTTAATATCGATACGAAGTATTAAAACCTCGTTGAGTCGTGAGCTGCACACTTTCTTGGTTTAACTTTCTCCATAAAAATGCGCTCCTCGACTTCTTTGTTGTTGAGTTGGTGCTGACAAGGAAAAGGTGTTTCGCTCAAATGTTATTTGGCGTCCCTGAGGAAACGCTGGTGGGTCTCAAGCCCGCAGTAAATCCTATTTTTATGACCGAGTAGGAAAGTGAAAAGAGCAATAATGTCCAATACTATAAAATATCAAATATGTAAAATGTGCTCCAAGGAGAAGAATACGGTACAGTACACTTGAGAATTATGTACAATGTGCATATCCGGCTTTTCTCCAGTGCTACTTATGTATCAATAACAAAACTACATTATTAGCATAAATAATACGTTCCCGGAGAACTTTATGCTTTTCTTGATGTGCAGCTGCACAGTTTTCGAATCATTTTGCAAGCCAGAGCAAAGCCGAGTTGTGCAAGTTTTCGTGATGGGTGAAGCATGATAAAATAGATACTTGGATTTTATCACCGATTCAACACTCGTGTCGCGATTTTATCGCGTTTCTCTTTTCACCAGAAGGAATATTTTTATTTTCTTCACTCTACTGCCGACTTCCGACCGACCTGAATATCTTTTAAAGTGTGACGTAAAATATTGCTAAAAATAGTACAATTCGCGAATTGCATTATTGTAGAGAAATTTTATTTTTAAAAAGAATTTCGCCTTTGTTCTCGAAAATCTCAAACGACCCAAAAACAAAGGGAAAACCGAAGAGTGAAAGCATTCTACTTTGTCGCTGGCTGAAGTCTAGTGTCGATTCGGCTTACTTTCACCGAGAGAAAGTTCACTCTCTTCTCCCACAACGAGAGAGATGGTGGTACTCGTCTGGTGCCTCAAGATTTCGCTTGCCTCCTCGTCTCCCTATTAAAACTAGTTGAAATTTTAATTTAACACTGAATTTGAATCTGCCTGTTGTTACGTCACACGAAAATATTCACCAACCAACTGCATGGGTCACAAACTATGTATGCACCAAATGTTTTGAAAGGTTTATTCTCACCATCTGTTTTTAGCTGTAGAAGAAGAATAAAATTTGAAATTCAATTCTCACATTATTTCAAAATTACCAGTTTTGCATTTCAAATTCATTCACATTTTCACTCGCGACGAGAGAAAGATATGAACTGCGAAACTATAAAGTTCCCAGAAAAGGACGAGGATCCTGACAATTCACTCCTCTGGTCACATTGTGCATCTCACTCACTTCGGTCTGTAAATATATATAGCTTGCCTTGCAGACAGTGCGTTTCTCGCAAGTCTCGCAAGTTTCCCCAAAATTTGCATATTTGCATTGTTTTGCATTATAAGTGTGAGAGTCAAAGTCAAACTGGATTAGCAAACGCATTTGAAAAAGCTCAAACCAAACTACACGAAAAAAAATCAGTCGTAAAATCATAAAATGTTTGGCTACAACGTAGTAAAAATTGAGTCGGACAATCACAATTTGTGGAAGTTTTTCATGTTTTTTTCATTATAAAACAATAATAAATACGTTCCCCGAGTATAATATAATTTGATTACATGCCCACTAAGCATCCTCTCCTTTCTCCAACATAATTCTTCACAAGTCTCTCGTCTGCATGGGAGAAAGTATTCCCAGGAAAAAATAGAATCATCTCCTAACCCTTGTTTTTATTGGCACGGGTTGAGATTCTGATAGTCGGCTAGTTTTTTATCCGGAAAGTACTTTACTTTATTGAGAGCTTGGATAAACAGTGGGATGAAGAAGAAAGTGTGTGCGTGTCCACTAGTCCAGTCTTCGTCTATCTATGAACCACCACCAACTGGGCTTTTTCTAGGAAAATCGCTTGATCATCAAAAAAACAAATCTCTTACAAAAAGAAGAAGAGAATGGACCGAGTCACGCTGAATTATTAGCGGCTCTGATGATGGGGTTAGTACGAATTTTCATGTGGTGTGTGATCTATGGATTTGATCGAAACTTTGAGTTTCATAGGATGTAAATAATTTTAAAATCCATAAGTGCTCGGAAACTTTAGGATTTTGCTTTCTCAAAGTGAAAGCACACTGTAAACCCACTTCTTCTCGGTAAAGAAAGTAAATCCCACTTGATCAGTGGGATCCATAATGTGTGATGGAATGATAGGCCCACTCATGAGGCTATCCACATGAAAAAGTGGCCGATTTTTGCGTGCCACTGGGTAAATAGTTCTAAAGCTCAAGTCCCTATATGAATACTCTGCCAATGGTGTGTCACAAAGCCCTTTTGGTGGGTAAAACTGCAATTTTTCACTTTTTTCTGGCTTTCCCAACTTTCACCGAAGGTTCCACGTGGCTCATTTTGCCTCACTTCCTGAGGAATTCATCTCCTGGAGGAACTGATTGTGAGTGAAAAAGTGTAAGAGTCAAGTGAGGAGGAGTCTTACTCAAAGTGATCCGGTGTCTTTCTGTTGGCTTATCGTAAATCAATCTCAACTTGGAAAGTATATCAAGTTTGGTTTACTTATCAGGGATGGAGGAGTGAAGGAAAAGGTGTAAAAAGTCGTTGGTCGTTCATCTACTGTTCAGTGGATTCGATTACCACGGCACTCTTAGAAAACTGGTATTAAATCATTACTAACCCTAGTTTGTGACTACAGGGTTGGTAATAATCGAAATTACCGTTTAGTAATGTTATGGTATTGAAAAATTTACTACTCAGAAACAAACTACTACCAATCCGGTTGGAAGTTATTACCAAATCAATACCAGTACGGACTCTACTAGATTTTTAACAGTGTCGAAATTTTCAATTTGCACAGAGAAAGATGATGCATTCATTCGGCCGAAAACTAATCAACCTTGTTTATCCTGGTCTGGGTAAACAGCGATAATTAGTAATTGCATAAAGTCGCGCAGACAGTAGTACGTATTTACATACGAGGGTACGACGATCTAGTGAAAACCAGTCCACACGACTAGTAAAAACACCCGATCGTACGTAGCGATGTGTAATCCATTCTAGTAATTGCATATTGCAAGGCGGAACTTAATCCTCTTTTTCCTCCTCCTCGTCCTCTCCACTTTTGTGGCCGTGTTTACTGTTTTATGCAGGGAAAAGTCTATCATCACCATCACCATTGCATTACGATTCATGTGAAGCATTAAGCTAAAAAGTGGTATTTTCACTTTCACCTCCCCTCCCTCTCCTCTCTCAGGTTGAGGCTTGTCTAACCATGACCGGCTTTAACTGCAAATGCAAAATCCGAATAAAATAAAACCAGAGGGAATTCTACCCTGAATGAGAACGAGGCTGGAGAGATAGCGTTTTTAAAGAAACGCATGCGAACACCTACGAGGCTAGATACCACCCACGTGGACACGAAATAATGGACCCTCCTCACGGCAACATTGTATTTTTAGGAAGGTTTTGAAGTTGAAAAATTGACTAATTTGCTTCATATTTGGAATCATGGGGAAATAAAAAACTGACTTGCTTAATTATGAGAAGGAACCCTTTTGATCTTTGATTTCGGAATAAAAAGTCAGTTTATTTTTACCTTTTGTAAAGTTAGTTCTAATTATATTTTTATACTTTCACTCATAACTTTCTCCCCAATTAGCATCATACGTACAATGTTTCATACAAGTACATACCACCCACCAACCACCCATTTCTTCCACGTAGACAGCGAAATCTGGCCACACTTTCACTCTTCGTGAAAGTAGAGACTTTTCCCAGGAAGAGAAAGCACACAAAATCCCCAGCGGCTCCTGAATCCCGCTCACTTGCTCTCCAGACTCTCACAACTCCAGAGGTCACAGCTTTGTTGTTCCCCTTCCGCCAGGCGAAATCGGCTAATTGGACAAATCTGTCGACTTACGTATATTCTGTCTCACCACCAGTTTAGAGTTTACCATTCACTACTTTGTGACGGGGGCGGGCAACTAGCTAATTCTACCACGTAAAGTCTTTAACCTTATAATTTATCTAAAAAAACATACTTTTGTTCCTTGTGCTTGTTATAAAAATAGTGACTTCGCTTTCTCCCCATTGTCTGTTTTCACCATCACTTGAATAGAACACAAAGCTCGTGGTGAAATCAATTTGAATACATAATATTGATGTTGATTGTCCTCCAAAACTTGAGACAATAGTGACACCGTGTCCGCACAAGTGTATCCTCACCAACTTTCTCCATCTATCTAGTCATCCATCCATCCATCGATTGAATTGTATTGTTAACTTTATTGTACTTGAGTCCCTCTCTTCCTCTTCCTTCTCAGTTGTTGTTAAAGACGAGGGGTTGACAGTAGTAGCCAAGCCAGTAGTAGTTCTGGTTTTGAGGATAAGAAGAAGAGTGAAAGTGAGAACGCATCGGAGCAGAAAATTGTTTGAAGTTGATCTCGATCTGGTCTTCGTTGGACGAAATAAGAGTGAAGAAACCCGACATTTTCATCTCAACTTGTCTTAGCTTATAAGTAAAGTAAACCTGCAGTAGCCTCTCTCCACCTGGTGAAAGTAACTTTATTTTATCCAGAGAGAAGTCGAGTTTTTGGGAGTGATTGCGTTATTGAATAGTGAAGCCAATTTAATTCATACGCCGGCAACTAGACATATAACATCAGCAAGTCAGACTTATGAAACACCTGCAAATTGTAAATTGTTAAAGTTTTTGGAAGAAGAAGAATTCTACTTGAGCGGATTTGACTTGACTTGGCTTGCCTGCCTACTTTCTCTCTCATTGTGAGAGAAAATTTCCACGAATTTGAATAGTGAGCTTCATATCTAATCTTGTTTAAGAGAAGAAAAGAGAAGGAGTAAGTATATATCTCTGTAGGATGAATTCGTACGTACGTACAATTCCCCAAGAAACGTGGCTGGTGGATGGAATAGAAAAAGTTGAAGGTGATTTATTACGCCTTCCGCTTTGACTGGTCTGCTGAATCTAGTATCGATTCCAATTCAGATCTCTCTGAATTCAGACAAAACTATTTGCACGAGTAATAAAACTTTGGAGAAGAAACGATAAACTGAAATTTTTACCTTGACTTTTTTGAAAAAAAGAAATGTGCCAGTAATTTGTAATGCGGACTTTGAACGATTAGAAATAACGGGGAAAACGTAAACGGGCCAATTTGTCTCCACCTCCTGCTTGATCTCCTCTCTCTCCGAATGGTACGATTTTAAGAAGGAGAAAGGCGGTTGGGAAAATAGAGTGGGATAAATGGGGCGATTACTAGCATGGTATTGTTACTCTGCTTGTGGGAGAATTTGAAGAAGTGGAGCTCAGACGACGAGATGCGGGAGCCTTACCACCACTACTACCACCAAGGCGGTGGTGGAGGGGACCACCACAAGCCGTACCCCCCAGAACATCATCCTTATCATCAGGTGCGTTATCTTAAGAAATAATGGAGGTCTTCCAATGTATGATTACAGGTTTTTACCAAATTAGTGTCAATCGATTAGAGCTTAAATTGCATAATGTGACATTTGAAAATGACACTATCTGCCAATTTGGCGGAGATATTTGCATCCAAAGAGGTAAAAACGAACGCCCTAAAGATGAGAAATTCTACACTTTCCACATTTAAATACTGCGCATATTAGAGAGTTGGAGATTTTTTGTACTTTTACTTGTACTGTACTGTGACTACAGTACAATACAAAAATTAGTACAAAAATCAAAAGACCTGGAGAATTTCATTATTTTGTACTCTGAAAAAATTGTATTGTAAAACTCCGCGAAATAGATGAGTCAAAAATTGAGACAAATCAACTCATGATATACAAAATGAGAATCCCTCCAACATGTGCGTTTAAAACGATCAAACCAAAAAGTCGAAATTTTTTACCCTTGACCTCGATTAAAACGGTCACCAGGCTGATATAAGCCGAAATGATAGTAATTTCTGAACTCCTCGCTTCAAAGTGAACTACGTCTGCAACGGTTGAAATAAAATATTAACATTTTTGACCTTTGACCTCGTGAACATGGTCACGGGGTCTTCATACGTTAAAGCTATGCAGATTTCTTAAATTCTCGCCTTAATACACGTCTAAAACAGTCGACACTTAAATTGCGACCTTTGACCTCGTCCTTTCGGTCATTGGTTGGTCGTAGGTCAAAAGTATTGACGACTATAAATTCTTGGTGAAATTTCCTTTAAAATGATACCGCATATGAAAATTAAGGTACAATTTTGCGTTTACTTCACGCCAGGGTGACCTTGACCTTGACCACAGGGAGCCCATCTTCGAACTCGACCTAGGGTCAAAAATTAGAAGCAAAATGGCGAAAACGGCGTCTGATTACATTGAGGCGTTCTAGAGATATCCTAGTTGCCAACCCTTGATTTTTCCACAGTAGTACAAATTGAGCCCGTGTTTCAATTTGTCTACTGTAGACTGTAGAATTAGTACAAAAAGCTGATGACGTCATCATCTAGAGTCCACAGTACAGTCTACAGTCAGAGTACAAGGAATCTCCAACTCTCTATTCTCCTCTTCTGGTACAAATATCTCTGCTAAACGTGACCACTGGGAGAACGTGTCATTTGCAAATATTGCAAATCTTATTGTAATTAAATTTGATGAACGCTAATTTGGTCAAAATCGCAGAGCATATGTTGGAAGACTTCCAGTGTAAGTTAGTTTTCATACACCCCAAAATTATCAAAATTCAGCTACTTTACACGGTTAACAATCCAAACCAAGTAGAGAAGCAAGTAAATATTTTGCTCTACAGACGAGGAAAAGAATCTGAAAATATTTCCCAACACTAAATTCAACTACCCCAAAAAATCTCAATTGGCGTCATCTATACCCCAAAAAAATTACTAGGTAGCACTACACCGATTCACCCACAACCTGCCATTTCTACCATACACACAAAAAGGGAGAAAGGTAGGAAACGATCTCCCAACCAAAAAAAGAGACCAAATCACGCCAAAAACTTTGTCTGATTCTTCCTGGAAGCTCTCTACTACGCGAGATGATGTGTATCTCTGTCGAGATTGAATTGCCTCTCATCCTTTAATGTAAGTTTGGTAGGAGGATGAAGGGTTTGTATTGACACACACAAAGAGCCAACGAGATGAAGAGGATGCGTCTCTCATTTAACCTAAATCCTTCCCTCAAACAGAACACATGCGAGATCACATACGGCAGAATCATTCCCTTTCATTCGTTCCGTTTCGTTCTACTTTATCTCATTTGACGACGACGTTGTTGTTCTTCACGGACTTTTGGTGGTGGTTTGTGTGTGTGCCGTGCTGATTTGATGCGACAGGTTGCTCCTGGTCATGTACGATACGATTTGCTCATTTCTACTTTCTTTCGACGACGACTAAACTAAAACCATGCAAGTTGTTCAGTTCAGACGGGGCTAAAAAACTTTTAGAGGTTTCCTTGCTTGGGAACCGGAACGGCCGTCGTGTGAATTTATTGTACAAGACGGCACGACCACGACATTAGTGCCAGGTTGTGCACATACATATGTACAAATTCATATGTATTTGTAGTACGTGGTGAAAACAACTGTTGCAAATTTCACAAAGTGGTGGTGATGACGTGTTTTACTAAAGATGTAGGATGTACATAAATTGAAAAAGTTGCGTGTATGTAATGCGGGGGAGCATCTGCCTGCCTAATGAAACAATTTTCAAGAATTGTGTTTTACGTAACGGATATTATGTAAGGCGAAGGGAAAGTTTTTTTCAGAATTGAAAAAATGAGGTATGATGAAAGTTTTCAGATGAGTGTAAATCAGTGTGTAGAATCTGCAGTAATCATAATCAAGAAAAGCTGGATGCCCGATTCTGCATTTTTTTTGCATAATTCTGGAGAAAATTTCTATCCATTTTACTCTGTGCAAAATACTGGGCTAATTCACTACAGGAAAGCTGTCCAAATTTTTGCTCGATTAAATTCAAAATTTATGCAATTCTTTAAATTATTCACACATTTGACTACCTTACTTCGAAGTAAGGTAGTCACACATGTAGTCCTTTTTGGTATTAGGTGACACCCCATTAAACAATGTTCCATATAATAAACAAGGAATAAAGACATCAAAATAATTGTTCAACTAATGCCCACACTACAATTCTCAACTTTCTCTCTAGCTTTCCCTTGCCCACATACACGAAAAGTTGGCACTTGACTTGACTCCTCTTTACGTAGCGGGTCCCATTCAGTCCCAGGGTTCAAATTAGTCGTAGTTATCACAGTGTGGGGAGTGCGACTCACGGGGTGTGAGAGAGACTCACGTTATCATCATAATAATAACTGGCCCAACCTGGCCTGGCCTGTCTTCCCGCCTGAAGGCAATATAACAACGACGACACGACAGTTAACAAACAGCCCAACTTTTGGACAAGTTCTGTATGCTTACTTTCTCCTGGGAATGAGACCAACTGGGTTGGATGGCAATTTACGAATAATTATCTTCTCACTTGGCGTACGTTTCTTGTGCAGAGAGAGACCTCCCACTCGGTTAAGCAATTATCTCTCTCTGACTTATTTTCTGGGAGGGATGGGCAAATCATAACTTTGTCAGGGCCCAACAATGCCGTTCGAAACGGGAGGTTTTCATACATACATTATAATTCGCGCGGGTTATTTATGGCGGTAAATATTTGTAATTCAATTAGCCCGTTTTTTTATCCATATTCCGCTAAGAGGAGGTAATAGGGGGAAAAGCATGGAAATAATAATTATCTGCAAATTACCACAAAAAATTACAAGATTTCACCCCTGCTGGGGAAGATTTCTTGTATGTGTCTACCCTCCCATAATTTATTAGTTTTGGTAATGGTGCAAAGATGAAACTTGTTATCTTTCCCTGGTTGGATTCTCTGCTATCTCAGTTTCAGTTCAGTATTGGTGTACAGGAATCTATCTCCATTTTGTAGTCTCGGGAATTTCCTATCCAGCTCGCTGGCAGGAATTTCCGAATTTCCGGTCTGTTTTCCACACCACAAATAACGGAGAAGAGAGGAGAAGCCTATGTCAGACCAACCTGGAGGAGGAGGAGGAGGAGATGCAGCAGTAATAGCGCTGTCTGCTTGGATGCTGCTGACGATAATGCAAGAAATACGGGTAGTTGGTAGTGTTGCTGCGGTGAAACTGGTGAAAATTTCCCTGAGGAAGTCTCATCCGATGCGGAATTCGCCTTCATTATTTGCTTATTTACACTGGTTTGGGATCATCCATAACAATTTTGCAGCTTTTAACACAGATCTTAAAAAGGGTTGGATTTGGTAGTAAATTTTGTGGGCGAAATTTGTACACGATTCTTTTTTCACTTTTTTTTCCAGTTTTTTTCTTCTCTTTCATGGTAATTTCCCCACAGTAATCTTTTTTTCCAGGAGACTTTATTCAACTACTGTGCGTCTTCTTCCGTTTCCATTTTTTCATAGGGCACAATATACTTTTACTGTAATCCTATTGTTCTTCTTGGAAGTTTATTTATCACGTGACGCTACTTTTACAGCTAATACACTACATCATCATCTTAATAATCAAATCACTTTCCATTTACGAAACCCACTTTGTTGGACTTCAAAAGTTTTTGGTCTAATTTTAACCCGGGAACCAACCACTTTCCTTTTCAAATAGTATGAACATCATCATCAAAAAGTATGAGCTACATTTCTTGTTTACTCAAAAGAGAGTTGAGCACACTGCCGCTAGCAATTTCGTAGATCATGTGTCATTGTCACGCCATGTTTCCAATTGGTTTGCCTCCTCTCACTGTTCACTTTTCGTTCCAGTCTTATTTTTCTGTGGCTTTGGTGAAAATTATTTTGCTTCAAGTTTCGACTTACTTAAAGCTCATGTGGATTTTGGTGGTTGTTTTTATTTGTCCAATTTAGACTTTTAGTTTTGATTTGAGCCGAGCAAAACAGAAGTTGGGAGTCAAACAAGATTTGGATTTGGTGGTGGTGTGGTGGTCTTCTGGCTGCTTTCACTTTAAGTTTTGGTCCTCCTTTATGGGTTTCGTTTAGTTTTGTTCTGTTCTTCTTGAAGAAAGTAGGAGTGAAAGCAAAGCAGTGTGGGCTTTTCTGGGGGAAAGCAAGGAAGGAGGGAGGGAGAAAGTGAACCTCTGGTTGCAAGTGTCAAAAAGGATTACCTGCCTCTTTCATAAATCTCTGATTTATTAGTCGTCTCCCTTTCTTTGCCTGCTTGCTCTCTCGCGTCCCGATCAATTTCCACTTTCACTCGTGTACATACATATTCTCCATCCCGGAAGAAGCTGGGATGGAATATGGTGGGAGAGGGAGCAGAAGAAAACACTGTTTATTTATGGACATAAACTCTCCGTATGGATTAAGAAACAACTAAAGAAACTCAAGTTGAATTGAGACGTTAACAAATTAAAAAGTAAC